TGTGGAGCAACCAGCTCCAGTTCAGTCTATGGAGTGGTTACCCCAAGGTCATGAGCACTGCAGGAGCACGCCCTATCAGTGCACCTATCTCCTCCTTCACTTGTCTCTGCTTCCTGTTATCCCCTGAAAACACAGGTTGTTGGTCCCAACTGTGCCCACTGCTGCCACCACCAACTCCTGGATGGGCCTCCTTAAACGGCTTCTCAACTTTTCCTCTCCCATCCTCACCCCAAAGGAGCAAAGCTTCCAAATATTACAGGCTGTGTGGATATTTTGAGATTTTATTTTATTTTTCCTTTTTCTCCCCAAAGCCCCGCAGTACATAGTTGTATATTCTTCGTTGTGGGTCTTTCTAGTTGTGGCATGTGGGACGCTGCCTCAGTGTGGATGAGCAGTGCCATGTCCGCGCCCAGGAATCAAACCAATGAAACACTAGGCTGCCTGCAGTGGAGCGCGCGAACTTAACCGCTCGGCCACGGGGCCAGCCCGTGTGGATATTTTGGATGTAAGTAATTGAAAAGAAGAGTCCAGGTTCTCCTTCCCCATCTGGACACAGGAAAGGAGAGCCTTACGGTTAATTCTGAAGATGTTGCTCACAGCAGGTTCTAGATACAACCTGATAGCTCCCCTCTGTTACTAATGCTTTCAGTGCTCCCTGCTTCCTGTCTGATAGTAGGCTCTCCTCTGGATCAGAGAAAAGCTGTAGGCCTGGACCAGGGAAACAGAGAGGCTGATTCTCAGGTGAGAGGAGGTCAAGGAGACAATGCAGCTAGGACAAAGAACTGAATAGTTTGTGCCAAATTAATTTCCCAAAAGATGTTAACCTCCTTTCCTTCCCCATTCCCTAAGGCTACTTAGAAGATTATAAAAGGTGTTCAAAATGTTGAGATGAAAATAATATGCATGATTTGTTTGCATATAATTTTCATACTCATTTACTATCTAAATACAAAGGAGTAGTATTCCTTCTCCATGCTACTTCCTCAGTTCCTGGCCCCTGATGTGCTAGTCTGGGCAAAATCAGCTGGCTGGTATTTAATTAGGTTTGTTCAGCTTCAGCCACAGTTTCTTGTTTTCCTTATTCTTGATCCCTCTGGTATGGCCAAGATCAGCCTCTTTTCTTCTTCCACTCTCATCATTTTTGCTTGCTATCTCCTCTAAATGACATTCTGTTTTTCCTCTGGAATTAATCTTAAATTACTCTTCATCACCAATCTCTTGTAGGTCAGCCAAGCAGGAGGCGAGCAGTTCGTTCCCTAGCCCTAAAACCAGGCCTTCTATCTGCACAGACACCTGAAATACTTGCTAAAAATCTCACTTCCCAACACCAGGGGGTGTCTGCCTATCCCTCTATCTGTCCTATCCTGAAGGTAGAGATTAGTCCCAAATCTTTTCCTCAGTCCTTTTACGTAGACACTAAAGCTCCCTTCCTCCCCCGCCTCACAGAGCTTTGGGTTCAGAAAGTGGTGTCGCTTTATTGCAGTTTATCTGTCTCTCATTCTCTCTGGACTTGCATAAATTTGTCTTTTTCTTAGTCTACTCATCCTTCGGTCTCTGCACTACCCACGATCCCCTTTGCCCCGGCTCCCATTCTTTCGCTACCTGTCTTCCACGCCTGTCTGGGCTCTTTACGTACACGTCTCTGAACCTCTGTATGTATATACCTTTCTTCTTCTCCCTGTCTTCCTTTTTATGGATCTCTCCTTGTCTCACTCCTTCTGTATTAGTCTCTCTCCATCTCTCCCACAGTCCCCACACTAGGAACAAAGTCACGGTATTTGCGCAGAACATGCCTCGCGTCGCCCCGTCCGAGACCGCGACATTCCACCGTGCCCCTCCGCGCATTCCAACTGCAAACAAAGAGTTCCCCTCCCCCTACTCCACTTTTTCCTGTCCCAATTCTTGAATGATGTAGTGACAGCTGCCCAAACTGCCCCTCGCACTCCTGTCGCCTCCAGTCGGAGGATCTCCACCTCTAAGACAGTTAGCACTAGCACCCGTTCCCGCCCCCCCAACTTCCTGGCGCACCAGAGATCCCTGCGCAGACACCCCCCCCCCCCCGCCCCCCGTTCCTCTAGTACTGGGCGCTCCGCCCCTCCAGGAAAGTAGATCCGGCCAGGCAGACAAAAGTTTGGGAGAGAAGTTAGGTCGGTGCTGAGTGTGGGAGTGAGGGGGGCGGGGGCCGGCGAGAGTAGGGCGGCCCCGGCGAGTCGACGCGTGAATAGATAGACCTGCGGACGGGACAGCCGCGGCCTTAGGCCCTTCTGGCCCCGCTTGACCTCTGATGAGCGGAGGGACGCAGCCCCTCTCGCTGGGTGATGCTGCGGGATTCTTGGCGCCGGGCATCCGGGCCGCCCGCTAAACCCCTGTGCCTACTCTGTGCCCTTGGGGAACCGGAATCCGGCCGCAGGGAAAGAGAAGCGGCAGCTGAGACGCTGCAGGGTGCCAGGCGGGGAGGGGGCTGGAGGCCCCAGGCCCGAGGGCATGGAGCGATTAGGAGAGAAAGCCAGTCGCCTGCTGGAGAAGTTAAGACTCTCGGACTCCGGCAGCGCAAAGTTCGGCCGCAGAAAGGGTGAATCTAGCCGGTCTGGGTCTGATGGGACCCCTGGGCCGGGCAAGGGGCGCCTGAGTGGGCAGGGGGGACCTAGGAAATCAGGGCCCCGTGGAGCTACTGGGGGACCTGGGGACGAGCCGTTGGAGCCAGCCCGGGAGCAAGGCCCCCTGGACGCAGAGCGGAACCCGCGCGGCTCCTTTGAGGCGCAGCGCTACGAAGGCTCGTTTCCCGGGGGGCCGCCTCCCACCCGGGCCTTGCCTCTACCTCAGTCATTGCCCCCCGACTTTCGGCTGGAGACCACGGCCCCAGCCCTAAGCCCTCGCTCCAGTTTCGCCAGTAGCTCAGCCAGCGACGCGAGCAAGCCGTCCAGCCCCCGGGGCAGCCTGCTGCTGGACGGGGCGGGGGCTGGCGGAGCCGGAGGTAGCCGACCCTGCAGCAATCGTACCAGCGGCATCAGCATGGGCTACGACCAGCGCCACGGCAGCCCCCTGCCCGCCGGGCCATGCCTGTTTGGCCCACCCCTGCCCGGGGCTCCGGCGGGCTATTCCCCTGGAGGGGTGCCGTCCGCCTACCCGGAGCTCCACGCTGCCCTGGACCGACTGTGCGCTCATCGGCCCGCGGGGTTCGGCTGCCAGGAAAGCCGCCACTCGTATCCCCCGGCCCTGGGCAGCCCTGGAGCTCTAGCCGGGGCCGGAGTGGGAGCGGCAGGGCCCTTAGAGAGACGAGGGGCTCAACCCGGACGACACTCGGTGACCGGCTACGGGGACTGCGCCGCGGGCGCCCGATACCAGGATGAGCTAACAGCATTGCTGCGCCTGACGGTGGGCACGGGTGGGCGAGAAGCCGGCGCCCGCGGGGAACCCTTGGGGATTGAGCCGTCGGGTCTGGAGGAGCTGCCGGGTCCGTTCGTTCCGGAGGCCGCCCGGGCCCGGATGCGGGAGCCAGAGGCCAGAGAGGACTACTTCGGTGAGTGAGAGAAGTGGTTAGGGACGGGAAGGGACCCGCCACCGCATTCAGTTCCCCACTGCCCCGATGGCCCAAATTGCCCGCGCCAGGAGGTCGGAGGCGGAGATGTGGGGCTAGAAAAGAGGCAAGAGGGATTTCCCCTTCCCACTGGGTTTAGAGGAACCAGGGGCCCCTTATTCCTGCTAAATTCAAGCCCCCTGATTATCTCGTGAGTCTCAGTTTCTCAAGCTTTAGAGCCTCGGTTTTTCGCGGTAGGAGGGCTCCTAGGGAGGGGACCAAGTGGGACAGTGAGAGCATCCCCCATCTTGCTGCCCCCTAGGCGGCGGTGCCCCTGCAGGCTTCTGCGCACCGCTCCCCCGCCCGGGCCTAGGCTCCGCCCGCAGGAATTCGGGGAATGCGCGGGTGGGGGGGCGGGGCGGGCAGGCCGCGTGCGTGCCGGCTCCTGCCCCGGCTCTCCAGGTGCCCGCGGGCGGGGCCGGCCGCGCGGCGCAGGGCAGAGGGGTGGGGTGCGGGGGCGAGGGGCTGCTTGCTAAGCCGCGCGGAACCGTGGTCGTAGTGGGGGAAGTGGTTTCTGGGGAGAGAGAATGAAGTCGCCTGGGACGGAAAGCAAGGACCCTACTGCTGGCTCGCCCCAGTCCTGCTGGCTTGGTGCGTGCGTGGGCATTTTAGCAGAGACCTGGTGGTGTCAGCTTCTTTTTTCGCCATCCTGCGGAAGTCAGGGCACCAGCCACGACGACCGGGACACCGTCACCCCTGGGTGGATAACGACCCTATGAAACTGCCAGAAATAACCTGGCTTTCACTTCTGGCCATAACCTGCTTAGAATTCAGGCTAGCCTAGCCCCTTATTTTCTGCTGCTGTTAAGGAAACCTGGTCGCTGTCTCTCTCCGCCATGCGGTTGCCTTTAGAAAGTATTAATTGATTACATGTCTCAGCTGAGGGGAGGGTGGGATTTGGGGTCATGAACGATGTTTTAGCCAAGACCCACAGGACCACTTCACTATATAAAGAAATGCTAATCTGATTGTGATAGGAAGAACAGAAGTGGAGGGCTCACCCCTAGGGTTGTGGGCCCCTTCAGTTTTCCAAGCATCTCCTTCTCACCATCCATGTTCCTGCCCTGGACCCCATGCTCTAGACCTCTATGGCTAGAAATGTAAAAGGAGAGGAACCCAGCCCGCGGAGGGAAGGTTGGGGAGGAGGTTCAGAAGTAGCAGGGCTGCAGGCTGGAAGGACCCTGCCTAGTTCAACCCCAATCCCTCCATTTCCTCCCACCCTGAGAGAGGAAAGCCAGAGCAGATGATGCTTTGGTCAAGGAAGACTAAGTGACAGGATGCTTTTAGCAGTTTCCTTTTGAGGCCCAGGAGAAGTGGCTGTTGGATGGAAAGAAGTCTCTTTGGCTAAGCCATCAGAGCCAAAAGGAAGAAAGGAGCTCAGAGAGAGTGCAGTAAAATGGCAGGAAGAACCTAGGTGTGGATGTGCCCGGTTAGAGGAGGTAAGGTAGACATGCCTGAGCAGTTTGCTCTTGTCTTCCCATAATGACCAAGGCTTCCCAAAGAAACAGCTCTGACAGGGCCCCCTGGCATGCAGTCTGGGGGCCGATCTCCCCTCCTGTGGGGAGGCCACATTTTGACCCCAGAGGTGGGGGCCTCCCCTTCCTGGGGGTCAGATTGCCTCCCCTGACAGAACTGCCAGCCTGACTGTACCCTCCTACTCTTGCCCCTAGTAGGGGCCCTCTTCCTTGGCTACAGCCTTGCCCAGCTGCCAGAGGGTGGGAGCAAGACAGGCCTGGGCTCATCAGTTGCTGCAGCTGCTGCACGGGCTCCCAAGCCCCTGGGCAAAGACTGGGATGGGCCCCAACAGGCAAGGAGCGTGGCAGTATGCCGAGGGGGAAAAGTGGGGCGGGGTAAGGCGGGCCCGTTGGGATCTGCTCCCCAAAGACAGGCCCTAGCCCTCACTCATGGGCCTGGAATTGGGGAGTGGAGGGAGGGAAGAACACACCCAGGAAAGGTGGGTGCCAGAGCCAGGTATATGTATTTTAGGGGGGGGATGTTCGGGGAAGAGCAGTTCAGCTCTGTCCCTTACCATGATAGGAGATGACAAGAAGACATTAGGGGTTCTGCCACCCTTCCCTGCCCCCTTTCTGTGCAACCCTCAGTCCCTGGAACACACCTGGCATTCTCAGCAGCCGTCTCCCCATGGGAGTCACGCTCACCTGGTCCCCTCTGCACAGGGCCCTCTACTGAGCCAGATCCTTCTTTCCAGATCCTTGGAAGCCTTGAGGTGTGGATCAGTGAGAAGTCATTCTATAGCTGAATAGCAGCTCATGTTACAAATGGGGAAACTGAGGTCCCAGAGAGGCTTTCTGGGACTGGCTTGCTTTCTCTAGAAAGTTTTTGAGTCTGCTGCTGGGCCCTTATGAAGTGACATCTCTGACTGTCCCACACAGTGCAACAGGGATCGTACCTCGCCTGTTTAGTCTTTCTCCGTAACAGAAACTAAGCATTTGAAGGCCAAGGACCATATATTTGACTTTCTCCAATTTTCCACAGTATTGGGCACAATATTTTCACTATGCATGAAATAGATGTTAAGAAAATATCTGTTGATTAATCAATAAAAGAATATATCTGCCTAGACAAGGCCTTGCTGCATCCCATTTCTCATTACCCTCTCTTCCCAGAAGGGAGTCCATTAAAGGGAAGCTGTGACTGGTGGTCCTCTGGCACAATCAGGAAAGAGGAGTCAGGAAAGATCAGGAATCCCTGGTTTTGAGCTGAGGAAGTGGGATGTGATGCTGACAACCTCTTCTCTCTCCTCTCAGGCACCTGTATCAAGTGCAACAAAGGCATCTATGGGCAGAGCAACGCCTGCCAGGCCCTGGACAGCCTCTACCACACCCAGTGCTTTGTCTGCTGCTCCTGTGGTGAGTGCAGCCCCCAGGCCTCAAGCACTCCCCACACACGTACATACATACGCTCACAAGTGCCTAGGGAAAGCAGAGCTTGTGCCTCCTCATTTGCTCGCGGAGGGTCCCCACCATGTATCTGGACGACCACTGCTGCCCCACCTTGTCTCTTGCTTCATGCCTCTGTGCTCTACCTGGCTCTCCCGCCCCCATGTTGGGTCTGCTTTTTGGAGTCAGCCCTCCCTCTGTTCAGCCTTTTTCCTCCCCTCTGTTCCTCTCCCTTTCTTCTGCCTCCCTTCTTGCCCAGCCTGGACTCCTGCCCAGCCCTCTGGCCTCTCCTTGGTGGGGTTTGGTCTTGGGCAGTCGAGTTGCCTGGGGCGACAGTGAAAGACTGGAATGTGGGAAGGGCGGGGGTGGGCTGGGGGAGTGGGGAACTGTGGCGGGCGGAGAGGGGGTTTTCTCTTGGCTGGTCAGAGTTCAGCCACCTCGCTAGAGTGCAGGCCACCGGGCCATGCCAAGCTGATGACATCACGCTCCAAGAATGCCCGCTGCTGTTAGCTCAGGAGGCCCGCCTGGAGGGGGGGGTGCTCCCAGCGGCCTTAACTCCCCAGCCCTTCCCTTACCTCCCTCATTACCCCTCCCCACTGCTTACCCACTCTGATTCCTTTGCTAAACCTTTAATCTCCTATCTCTGCCTGTCTGACTCCAACACTCAGCTCTTCTCTCACCCCACCCCCCGGCTTGGTTCTCTTTAGGTTCATCTTTCTGTCTGTTCTGTGTGTAGGGCCTCTTCTGGGTATGTCTCTTTCCCTCTCTCTATCCGCCTCATGTCTCATGAGTTTCTAAGTCAGCTTTTCTAAACCACTGGGCAGAGCTGGATGTGGAGATTTTGATGGGAAGAAGGCAGAGGTGGGAAACTTGCGCACTCTGGGCCCTGGTCTTACTCCTCCCCCATCCTTGGCAATTTAGACACCCTGGAGCACGTTGTCCCCAGCAGTAACTCCAATATGTCCTGACCTCTGTAGAGCCTTCCTGGAAGGAGATGGACAGGGCTAGGAGAGCAGGATAGCTATGTTTGGGCAAAGAGGCTCCTAGCTTGAAAGGTCCCAGAGGGCAAGGTCTGTGACAGTATGGTCATCTCTGTGCTCGTTGTATCGCACGTTGAAAGCTTTGCTTTCCCAGATGGCTCCCCTCCCCACGCACTGGGCACTGGAGAGGAAGGTGCTCATTTAGGGCAGGGTCATAGAAAACTGTTGAGGAGGCAGGAACTGGAGGAGTGGTGAGCAGAGGAGAGGGGAGGTTGGCAGGAATGAGACAAAGCAAATTGGAATTGCATCAGATGGGATTTTTGTGGGGGGAGGGAGGGCAGACAGCAGTTTGGAGGACAAGCACTAAAATCTAGATTTAAATACATCATGCAACATTGGGGAGCAGAGACCCTGGAGCGAGGAAGCCCTGTGCCTGGGCCCCGGGATAGGCTCCAGCCCCTTCTCTGCTACTTCTAGGGCGAACTTTGCGCTGCAAGGCTTTCTACAGCGTCAACGGCTCTGTCTATTGTGAGGAAGATTATCTGGTGAGTGAGGGGTTCCCTGTGCCTGCAATTGGCTCCCATATTGCAACCCCCTTCTTGGTGGCCTATTGGGGTTCCACCCCTCAGTTCATTCTCAGCTTGTAACATCTTCCCTTGACCTTTTTTTTCTCTCTAGTTTTCAGGGTTTCAGGAGGCAGCTGAGAAATGCTGTGTCTGTGGTCACTTGATTTTGGAGAAGGTGAGCAGAGTGTATTCAGCTGAGACTCTACAAGGCCGAGGGGCCGAGGGGTAGAATCAGGGGCTAAATGGGTACTGAGAAAAGATGGGGGGAGGAAACCTATCACCAGATGAATCACTTTCATCCCATTCCTCCCCAGAGCACCTGGTTACAGTGGCTTCTCTATACCTATGGGATCAAGTCTGGACTCCTAATGCTGCCATGCCCATGCTTCTGGGGTCTGGCCCCTCCCTAATTCTGCAGGCATAGCCAGGCCCTCTGCCTAGGAGTGTGAGGTCCTCAGTCTTGATCCCCTTTCTGCTACTGACTAGGATCAGTTGGAACTCAGTTTTCTTCTGGAAGAAGGAGGGATTGGATTAGATCAGTGGTTCTCAACTCTGGCAGCCTTGCACATCACCTGGGAGGAAGTAAAAGTACCAATGCCTGGGTCATCACCAGAGACTGTGATGAACACTTCTGGGGTGGGACCCAGGCATTGATGGGTTTTTAAAGCTCCCCGGTGATCCTAATATGCAGCCTGGGCTGAGGACCACTGGCCTGGATGCTAAGAGCTTTTTTGGGATTTCTGTCTCCTTTTTAAGACTCCTTAGTCCCCTCAGATTACATAGCATTGTTCTGGGAGGATAGTAGGGGGTTGGATGAGGTTAGCGGGAGCTGGAGGGGAACATTACGGGTAGCTGGAGAGCTGGGACTGAAGGGAGGCTGATTCTCCTCCCACCCCATGAGCCAGATTCTCCAGGCTATGGGGAAGTCCTATCACCCAGGCTGCTTCCGATGCATCGTTTGCAACAAGTGCCTGGATGGCATCCCCTTCACAGTGGACTTCTCCAACCAGGTGTACTGTGTCACGGACTACCACAAGTGAGTCTGCCCTTGGGGTGTGGTGTAGAACTGGGCTCAGAGATTCCCCAACCTCAGCTCATCTCTGTCCTGTCTCTTTCAGAAATTATGCTCCTAAGTGTGCGGCCTGTGGCCAACCCATCCTCCCTTCAGAGGTCAGTATGTCTGGGTTCTCCTGCAGGGCAGCCAGTGCCGCTGCCTCTAGGGAGAGGATGGGGACATGCTTCCTGGCCTCCCATGGGAGGCAGTGGTGCTGAGGAATGTACTCTGCAAAGATTCCCGTGTGACTCTGCTCTCGAGGTCACCACCCTGACCCTAACATCCGGGCCTAAACATGTCTGACAGCCTCACCGGGCCCAGGCTCCATCTCTTTTCTCCCAGTCCAGAACAGATTTTCTTTAAGGTCAAGTTCACCAGATCCCAGATGTAGGGGCTGGAAAAAGGTGGGAAGAATCCTCAGGGCTGGTAGGAAGGGGTTGGAAATGGTTTATGCTGTGTGTGCAGAGGGTGTACCTAGGAGAGAAGCCAAAAGCCAATGAGGAGCCAGACCCTATTGGATTTCCTTGTCCCCAGCTTAGCCTGCTTTATTTATGCTGCCTGCTCCTTTCCCTTCCCTCTGCTTCCCCCACAGCTGGAAGAGGAAGGTAAGGCCAGAGCCCCTGGAGAGAGAGAAGGCTGCATGAGGGGGCATGCCCTCCTGGAGGCAGGCAGCGCCAAGGAAGGGGAGAGGGAGGTCCCGGTAGGACTTGCAAAGGCTAACTCAAAGCTACAGATGATTGCAGAGAGGTTCCGGAGGCCTTTGATTGATCCTCCCATCAGGTGGGAGGGGGGCTGTGTTGGGGGAGGGTGAATTTGGGATTGTCATGCTGCTCTCACCCTGTGGTGGTCTGCATTATTTCAGGGCTGTGAGGACATTGTGAGGGTGATATCCATGGACCGAGATTATCACTTTGAGTGCTACCACTGTGAGGTGAGTGTTGTGGGTGAGGGCTCCTGGAGGAGAATTGGAGTGGGGCCAGGGAGGAGTCAAATCCTAGAGCTGTTGGAGTCCATATAGGGCATGGAACCCCAGGAAGCTGCTCTGACCTATCTCCAGTCTCTTTCTCATCCTCCAGCCACTCTCTCTGGTCCTGGTTGTTTAGTCCTTTCTGAATCTAGCTTTCCCAGGGTCGAGATTCTGAAAACTAGGGGATCCTGGTAACCACTGGAAATGGGAGCCTGTTTCATTATTTCTGCTGTAGCAGCGACACCTCGTGTCCAGCTGAGGTATTTTCTCAGGTTTCTCTTCTGGGAGTCCATTCCTTCCAGTCCCACCCCGAGGCATTAGGAGTCTGGTGTTGAACAGAACAGACTCCCAACATGTCCAAGGTGCCTGAGCTGAGATGAACTAGGTGTCCTTCTTCCCTAGGACTGCCGGATGCAGCTGAGTGATGAGGAAGGCTGCTGCTGCTTCCCTTTGGACGGGCACTTGCTCTGCCATGGCTGTCACATGCAGCGGCTCAATGCCCGACAGCCCCCTGCCAACTATATCTGAGCTGCAGTCACTGCTGCTGCCATCGCCACTGTCGACAAATTCCTCTGGCCAGTGGGCCCCTTTGAGGCCAGCCGAGGCAAGGAACACACTCTGCAAGCCTGGCAGAAGAGTCCTCTGGGGAGGGCCCCAAGGACCAGAGACCCAAAGATCAAGACATTCCAAATGGATTGTGGAGGAGGAACCTTCCACTTGCCATGGTGGGGGTGACTCGCCTTCTTTCCACGTGTGGAGGCTGTGCTATAGCTCCTACCCAGGCACACACAGGCGGGTTCCAATACTTTCTGAAGGTCGGAGTTTAGTCTGTATCTCCAGTATGTGTTGGTGCATAAGTTCTGGATTATAGGAAGAGAGGACATCATGGGAGCTCCTCACTCTTTTGTACCCTACATGTGGGGTCAGATGTGGGGTCAGCCAGGTTCTTACCACAGTCTCTTATCTCTCTATCTGGATGAAGACGTGGAAACTCTGGACCTTATTCATGAGTTATTTCTTGGCCATCTTCTAAGGACTGGGAGAGCTGCTCACCCTTCTGGTAGGAATAGAGACCAGCTCTGGGGGGGGCCTGCTTCCCATATTGCCAGTTTCTCAGGGACTCAGGTGGGCCTGGGGAGGCTAGGTGGGTGCCTGTACTTGGCTCCTCTTCTCCTTAGCTGGGGGAGGTAATGAGTGGGTCTCTGGCTGTGGAGTTGCTGGGTGAGACATCTAGGAAGCTTCAGGCTAGCCACACTCCCAGGTTTAAGTGCACTGAGCACTCCAGCCCTGTATCTGCACACACGGGCACATTCACACACACACACTCATGCTCTCACTCCCTTCTTCTCAGGTCAGGTTCCCTAGCAGTAGCACACTACTCCAGACCTGCCACCTCTCAGAGGGACCCAGGATTACATCTACTGCAACTCCCAAACCCTGAGGCTCTGCGAAGCCAGACGGGCAAGACACTTTGACCTGGTTCTAGTCAGTTTGGCTGAAATTGGTTCACCTAAAACTAGATCTTTTAAAACCAATTCACTGAAAACTTGTTTGCTTAAAGTTCACTTCACTTAAGGACCAGTTTACCAAAACCTTAATTCCCTTTTGGATGTTTTTATAGACATTTAGATGTTCTGTTCTTTTTTGTAATGCTTTGGGTGTTTCCAGGATTTATATCTGTTCATCCAAGGGTACTTCTGAGTTATTATCAGCAACATAAATTTATCAAATTTGCAGCACTTTGTAAATGATGAGATTGCTTCCTACCTTTATGGATATCTTTTTCTATGTTATCTAATTTTCAAACACTTTTTAAAAAAGTTTAAAGTTTCTAGCAATAAATAGAATTAGTACAGACATTTTGTGTATCCTTTTTTGTGTTTCTTAATCCAATGCTCCTTTATAAATTAGATGCCTTTAGAAATGTAACAGCTCAATATGATTTTGATGCTTTGGTCTGTCTTCTACATTTCCTGCTGTTAAAATGCCAATATATTCTAAACAAATGAACAGACGTGTGGCATATTCAGTTGACTAAGAAGGGTTATACCGACAACAGCAATAAGTGAAAAGGTGAATCTGCTTAAATCCTTTTGAAATGCTGCAGATTTGATAAATATTTATTTTAGAATAATTGTTTCTAGGTGAATTGGTTTTAGGCAAATTAATCTGATAATCTTTGATCCTTAGTCTTCATTCTGTGTCACTTAGAGTTTCATATTAGAAATGAGGACTCTTGAAAACAGAAATTCCACGTTTAGGTGTTATTCTAAGAAGACTATGCCAGCCAACCTGGGAATTGAATAGAAGAGGCCTCCGAGTGAGAGTAAGAGTTCGATTCATACCACTGAGTGCCAGAGGCGGGAAATGCACTTTTTTTGGAGGGATAAATGTTCTGAAACTAAATTACTTGTTATCCAGCTGGGATTGCTTCTTCCAAACTATTATTAAATAAGTGAATACAAAGACTCTGTGACTGGAACATTTTCTCACCAGGCTGCTCTGGGCCTGGGAAGTCCAGACAAGCATATATAGCTTTACATCCCTCCCTTCTGTCTTTTACTGTTGGGGGCATCTTGGCTACCTTGACCCTTATTTCTTACTCTGATTTTGGTCTCCATCTGTTGCTGACTGGCTGGTTTCCTTTCATCTGTCCAAGCCGTGGAGCTCCCCAAGACTCTGTTCTTACCACCGGGACAACTCTCTCCTTCCTGAGGAAAAACAAGTGCTGACATCTGTTGAGGACAGGCCCTGGGAAGGCAGGCCCTGGCACCCCACCGCATCACTGGCAGGCTCCCACGTGTACCCTGCATCACAAGAGTTTCCCTTGTTCCTGTTCACTGGGAGATTGCTCATCTTAATAGTTCTATTTAATATTCACAATCGATACTGAAAGATTCATAGGGTGCTGCCAAGGATACAGCAAAAGGCAGACCTTGTTTGGCCAGCTTGGGACCTGATTTTCATCAATAGCCACTAATCCTGAATGGGGAAAGGAGGAAAATGGAAGAATTATGGATCCATTTTGTGTTTCTTTAGATGAGAGGTACAGGACAGGGCTGAGGCTTTCACAGCAGACTCAGGCTGTTTGCTCTAGCCAGCCCTGTTTGCTACAGGCCCGAATGTGGTTTATGAAGAATAAGGCTGGTGATGGTTCTCTCTCTGCCTTACTTCTAAGAGACGTGTCTGTTTCCCTCTTCACCACCTGGAGCTTTCAAGGCCAGGGAAATGGTAAGGTTCCATTTATAATCAGGCTGGAGACTCTCCTTAGTCAAGGAGGAGGTAGAGAAAGAGCTATTTCCAGGCATGTGAAGCCAGGTGGATGAGGTCCTTGAGATTGTACCTACATAGAAGGGAATAAAAAGAGGGAAAGGAGACTAAAAGGACTGGGAAAAAACCAGTGAGCATTTTTATTTTGTTTTTTAGAAGGACCAATATCCCAGAGCTGGCCTGGGGTCATTCAGAGCCCTAATGGTGAGGCTCCACAACAAGGACAAGTGTCTAACCAATCACAGTCCTCTCCATCCTCTCCTCCCTTGCAGCAAAGGAAAACCTAAGACTGGGCCTCTGCTGTGCCCACTGCTTGTGTAGGGCCCTTGGGATATCCACATTTGGCCTTGGTTGTGAAGGACTGAAGGTTTGACCTGAGAAATATGAGCAAACTGTTCCTGGAATGTATAGATTAGACCAGTCTAACTGGTGGTAGGAGAGTCAGAGGCAAATTCTGCCCACTATGGGTTTTACTTCACCTAAGCTTAGAAAGGACAGGGCTGAGCTGTGTGAAGGGAGCCAAGGTGCTATCCAAGCAGGGAGAGGTGGGTTAGGAGGAACATCTAAAAGGTACGGATAGACTTGTGTCCTAGAGAGTTAGAGCCAAGCCAGGTGTGAGTTTAGAGATAACCCAGTCAGTTCATTTTACTGAACGAAGAAATAAAAACTGAGTGATGATAGGACTTACCTACAGTCACGAAGCTGGAAAATGATGTCCCAAGTTTTGCAGACTAATAAAGAGCTTATTTCCCCTCTCCCTCCCCACCCCCCATCACAGGGACTCTTATGCAGAAGTAAACTGTAACTGAGATAAGCACTTCATTATGATAGAGCATTAGGGAAAGTTTTAGTGGGAAAGTCAGGGAACACAAGAGACAATTACGAAAACTTTTGGTTCTTACTAGTGCTTTTTTTGTTAACTAGAATTAGCAGTTGCCAAAGTACCTCTAAAAGTACATTAGGAGAAGCAAACGGAATATACTGCAGGAGAGTCCCCACCCTTGAGGCGGTCACAGTCTAGCCAGGGAGACAAATACACACAAAATGCCTTGAGAAGGTTACAGGCAACATGTCAATAAGTGCAAAGTAATTGAGTGTTACAAACAAAAGACCTAATGCCACAGAGGACAGATGAGAGGAGTGAGACTTTGTCTGGCTTTGATTATAGATCAGAAAGTGATGGCCTATAGGCTAAATCCTGCCCCCAAATGCATTGAGTTTGGCACACTGGAAGTTATTTTTTATAATATTAATTTGAACCCTAGTTGAGGAGTGAAAAGGGCCAGCTAATGTAGAAAGAATGATAGAATTGGAAAAACAGCATTTTGTGAACTTGAATACAATTTTTGTTTCTGGCAAAGATTATTAATTGGTGTTAAAAACCATATGTGAAATGGTTGGTGGACAACTGGTCATTCGTGTAGGGCCAGATAACACTATCAGTTTACAGTCTTGAGGCCAGAAATGTGACTGTATGTTGGAGGGGTCAGACTGTCATCACGCATTTCTGGGAATCAATCTAACGCTAACCGGTAGACCAGTTCTGGTGTGAGGCAAATACATAACCCAACCTAGTACATGTCCTAGCTGCTTCCCACTCCCAGAAGAAGTATGAGCTATAACTTGCAGTTTACAGGAAATACTGGGGATAGAGTAACAAAGTAAAGGACACTAGGAGGAAGCAACTAGACAAATCTAGGAGGTAAGGCATCCTGTAGGGCAACTAGCCAGCTCTCTTCAGCAAGTCAGTATGATTTTTTAAAAAGTCAAAATTGTTAGATTAAAGAGACTTAAGGGATATAATAACAATACAATGCATGGTCCAAAATTCCCTATTGGTTTAAATAGATCTCTATAAGAGATATTTCGGGTCAGTTGGAAAAATTTTAATTTGGACAGGGGAAGATGAGGTGAAAATTATTGAGATGGAAAAGTCAAAATCTTTAACAAAATGCCCATTCCCAAACCATATATACAGGGTAATCATATTTTGTTTATAAAATGTCTATATATTTATGAAAAAAACATTTGAAATGATATGCACTAAGGTGTCAGCAATAGTGACCTCTGAGTGGTGAGAATATGTTTGGTTGTTGTTGGCCTACATTCTCTATTTTTTTACAATGCATGTGTACTGCCTCTGTAATAAGAACAAGCTGTTTCAAATAAAATAACTTGCCAACATTTACAATACAGGAGATTTCACAGAAAAATCTGGATATTGTATACGAAGAGCTATCTCTCACCTCCGGGATTCCATTCCCACATGGCAGTGATTGGTTGGAGATGAGTGATGGCTGCTCCATTATTTGATGTATTCTCTTCTTAGTTTGTCACAGTCCCTACCACTCTCATCTGTGCCCTTCACACATTGCTTACCTGCCTGGCTTTCCTAATGCCTGGCTTTCCTAGACTTTTTTTCTTCTTTTTTTTTTGAGGAAGATTAGCCCTGAGCTAACATCTGCTGCCAATCCTCCTCTTTTTGCTGAGGAAGACTGGCCTTGAGCTAACATCCATGCCCATCCTCGTGTACTTTATACGTGGGACGCCTCCCACAGCATGGCTTGACAAGTGGTATGTAGGTCTGCATCCGGGATCCGAACTGGTGAACCCTGGGCCACTGAAGCAGAACGTGCAAACTGAACCACTGCACCACTGGGCTGGCCCCTTCCCTAGACTTTCGAGTCAGTAACCCTTGATTTGGATTATCCCGATGGGCTCCCCATCCGTGGAGCCTCCCCACTATTAATCATTTGAAGGTACCAATAAATAGTTTTGAAATGCTGCCCAAGAAAAGCATCAATTCCAGAATTATCTGCACCTGGGTTTTTTATAAGGCAATCTAGTCGTGGGGAACCTAGGTGTAATAATTAAGCTACTTAGTTACCACAGTTGTGTACTATAAATTAGTTTAGCAAAATCTCTCTTTGGTAATTGGAAGAGAGAAAGTACTGTATACTAAATTGCTAACTTCCTCAGAGTTTTGCTTTTTTTGACATTACACCTTAATCACAGGAGGTTTTTCAAAAGTTATAATGTATGTTTTTCGCAAGCAGGAAACTCCAAATGCCCTTTGGTTGTTCTATTTCTCCTACTGGTTCTGATACAATTTTTAAAGGAGAAAATCTCGGGGCCAGCCCAGTGGCTGAGTAGTTAAGTTCGCGCACTCTGCTTCTGTGGCCCAGGATTTCAGCGGTTCGGATCCTGGGCGCAGACATGGCACCACTCATCAGGCCACGTTGAGGCAGTGTCCCACATGCCACAACTAGAAGGACCCACAACTGAAAAATAAACAACTATGTACTGGGGGAATTTGGGGAGAAAAAGCAGGAAAAAAAAGAGAAAATCTCCTTCATATGCAATTCAGTATAAGACAGTGTCATCATCAGTTTAAAATCCAGGGAAACACTTTTATCAGCCTGGCACATGTTTTCGCATTACAGCAGCACACTCGATCTGTTATAACAAGAGCTGCACCCGTTGTGCTTCATGTCTAGTTTTTCAAAATGATACTAGTCTTCTTCTGAATCAATTTCCTTTACTGTCTCATATTGCTTTGGTAAAAATTTTTCCAATCTGTCCCATTTTTTGAGCCAAATTTCTCAGCTTTTCTTTGAGCTCCAAAATTTCCTATCAGGCCTTGTTTATATCCTAGTTCACAACAGTGTCTCAAAGCAAAACCAGGTTTATTCCAGTTTGTATAACAAAAGTTTCCATGAACAGACAGGTAACCCTTGAAGCCACAAGGGGCTGGGTTTGAAATCCCCTTGGAAGGGTTAAGCAATTACAAAAATGGCACATTATGAACATTTGTTCTAAAATTTTCATTTGATGTCATAGGTTGATTACATATTTTCTTTATCCACTTGTTTTTTCCTGAAATCATGTACTTACAATGGGCATGAAATTTTCTAGCTTAATCATCAATAGTTGTGGCTCTGAATACCTTCATTTTCCAGTGAACACCCTTGAAAATAATTCTAAAATCTCTTGACTGCCTGTAAAATTTTTTATTCCTGAAACTAGTTTCTGGGTCCATAATACCATAATATATTCCCGCTACTTGCCTTCAGATACCTTCAAAGTGGTACAGCTTATTTTTTTTTTAATTTTTCTAAACAATTGCTAAATCTTCTAAACAGTTAAGTGTGGTTCCACAGTCCAATAGCTATTTTAATGTCCCAGCTTTGAAACTGGTTATTTAAGCCCAAATTTTCAGTGTCAGAACATATTCTACTCAGAAGTTTCCATTAGTTTGGTAAGTAGAATACCAAATACTCACCTGAAATCTCTACCTTTGGAGCACCATTTTGTTTCCCGGCTAGAGCATGGGAGGCAGAGTCCCTGCAATGTTCTCAGCAAATCTCCATTCTTCTCTGTAATTCTAAACAATGCAGCAAAGGAATGTCCGAGTCTGAAAGGTTAAGTAGACTTTTTCTCAGACTCCCATTTACATTTATCATCAAGTTAAAAAGCTATACACGAGTAGTTTTTGAAGACTTGATCAAGAGCAATGTCTTCAAGAAGGTAGAGCTAGATTGTGGGCAGGAGTTACACCTAATTTATGTGTCTATACCCCTACCCTTTGCCCCCTATCCCCCCACCCGCCACCCCCTCAACAGAGTCCAGCCAGGGACTACTCGAGCATGTTCTTGGCTTTATCATTAAAGAACATTTAAGAAGTGAGTGATTGTATTTTGCATATGGCATAGCAGAAGGTGAGATGAACAAAATTGATGAAGAGACAGGCCTATAAAGGCCAAGTGTTCCATGGAACAAACAAAACTATATAAGGTATTAGCACTGTGGGGGTGGTCAAAAATTCATTCTTTCAACAAATAAGTGCCTCTGTATGCCAAGCACTGAGATAGGTACCTTGGGGTCACGGAGGAAGCAGCTCCTATGTACAAACCCAAACAAGTTAAGGTTTTAAAGAGGATTCTGTACTCCTTCTCAGCAATAAAAAGATGAACTAAAAAAATGAATTACTGATACTGGCAACAACATGTATGAATCTCAAAATTAACTATGCTGAGTGAAAGAAGCCAGACCAAAAAAAAAAAAAGAGTACATCTTTGATTGCATTTATATAAAATTCTACAAAGCGCAAACTAATCTATAATGACAGAAAGCAGATCAGTAGTTGGGAGGGGCCAGAAAGAGGAACTGCAAAGGAGCAGAAGCAAACACTTAGGGGATGATGCATATGTTCACTATCTTGGTGAACTATCTGTGGTGATGGTTTCACAGATGTATAGTTACGTCAAAACTTAATGAACCTTAAACCGAATACTTTAATTTCAATGAGCACTTTAAATATTGTATGCCAAAATACCTCAATAAAGCTGTTTTTTAAAAAATCTGCAACACAGAGAAGGAGGCAGGGAAAGGAGAGAGAAAGAGCATGAATTCTAGGGCTTCTCTTGCAGCTCTTTCTTGCTCAAGGACACCAGATGGTGTCTGATTGTCAGGTCCTTTTTCAGTCTTTTGCTGCAGTTTTAACTGCCAGGATGGTCTATGGCCTCAACTTTCTAGTCTTATGTAGAACTGGCAAATTAAGTCTTTCACTTCAGCTGGTCCAGTCTCCTCTTGGACCCAGAATGCAGCTTGGACTCCCTGTCTCTGTTTCACTTCCTGGGATGTTTCCTTCGTTCTAAATGATCCAAATTTTCTCTCCTTTCAGGCCCAGCTAAGGTAAGATTTCGTGGTCTTTCCTATCCATTCCTGCAGAAGGAGTTCTGTAGAAGTTTCTCTAGTATTTACAATCTAAACTGCTCTTTTGCCACCTTTTTGCCACAGTGTATTATTTACTTTTCATGTGCATGTCTTACTTGCTCAACTAGATTATGAACTTCTTCATAAGGGACTGGGTCGTCTTTATCTTTGTGTCTCTCCCAAGGCATTTAATAAGTGCTTAATAAGTATCAATTTTAAAACACCTCACTTTGATAGTCTGTCCAAAGCACCTTCTCAGCCATTATCTCATTTGATCATTACATCAACACTATGAGATTGGAGGAGCTAGAAATATGTTATTTCCTCCTTTCGACAGATAAGGAACCTGAAGCCCAAGGTCACACAGCTTGTTAGAGACAGAGATTGAACATACGAAGGTTTGATCCAACTCCAGGCTTCCCATGGCTCACTCCTCTACCCTCCGACCTGAACACAGGCCTCTGCACCCTTCACCTCCTCATCCTCCCAAGTACTTGAGAGCTGCTTAGCCAAAGCTTTGTAGTACCGTCTTGGAAAACTTGACAAATATGAGACATGAAATTTCAGTTGATTTCTGATCAGCTCTGAGTCACCAAAGCATGCTTGCTATTTTGTTCCAAGTGCTGTTTGTTAGGGACATTATGCCTGATATTTAATGATGCTGCACTACAGAGCTGAGGAAGCATAAATGATTTTTAAAAGCCTCAGAAAATGACAGCACTTTAATATTAAGCATGAAAAGTGGCAGCTGACAAGATGACCAGGGATATAAAATTTCCACACTGGATCACACTATTCCCCACGTATTGCTGGTAGAATTCTCTAGTTAGTACTAAAAGAAAAGGTTAAACTCTCTACCACTCAGCATCCCCAGCCCTGAGAGTCCTTCCCCACCACCCCAGACTATCAGCTGTTTCTCTGATGCAGCAGATTCGATAACCTTGGTGCAGTTTACTTAGCATCAAGTATTACTTTTGAAATAATTCACCTAATGACTAGATTCTAGTCAACTTTGAAAAGAGGCTGGGGGTCAGGTTTAAGACAGAGAGAGGTTGGGGGACCCCCTTGAGAGGCTCAATGACCTTTGGTCAAAGTGCATAGCCAGCCTGAGGTCCATCCCAGGGAGGAGGCCAGGGATTTGTCTCCCTCCTCCCAGCACTGTCTTCTCTCCCTCTGACCTACTGCTGGGATCCCCCATTGGCTAAAACCAGTCAGGGAATATGGGGACCCTGAAGTCCTTACAGGTAGTCCTTACAGGTGGTCCTTACTGTCTACACAGGCTGTCGAGGAGCAGAATGCGGACCTGGGGGGCAAATGGAAGACATCCAGCTCATTGGTCTAGGTATGGGCAAGTGACCAGTCTGGCCAGTGAGACATGGTGCTTCTGGGGAAGATTTTCTCCCCTGACTGGTATAGGAAGAAGGCTCTCCCTCTTCCTGCTTGGGATGGTGTTGAGAGGATGTACTTCTTGGACTTCTGCAGCTACCTTGTGACCAGGAGGCGAATGCAAAGAGAACTGCAAAGAACCTTGACACCTTGTACAAAGCCTTGGGACCTTCAGCTTTAGACTTCTTGTTAAGCAAACAATACATGTCCATACAATTTTAAAAACGAAAGAGCGAGAGGTCAATGAAGGATGAGAGAGAAAGGAGAGGGCAGAGGAGCCTGGAAGAGGAAATGAGAGCGGGAGGCGGCGCAGCGCTGGAGGGCGGAGCCTGAGGGAGGAGCCCCGCAGTCTCCGTGTGGACGGCAGGTTTGGGAGGGTTGAGGCCACCGGGTCAGGTCCAGACTCTGCAAGCCGCGACCTTGAACAAGTCCCTTAGCCTCTTTGCGCCTTAGTTTCCCGCTCTGTAAAATGGGTACGACAATGACTTCCTCGTAGGACGCGGTAAGAGCTAAATGAAGCGAGGCAAGGCAGGTAGAACCCTCGGCACAGTGCCTGACTCACGGAGGCCCTCAATAAATGTTAGCAATTATTACCATTTTCTCGACATTTGCTCTTAACAAGGGGAGGTACCCCGGAGGAGGGCAAAGACGCCTTCCTCAGACCGCTCCCCTTCCCCGCCCGGACTCCCAACCCCGAGGCTGCGAGCCGTTGGGGTCTGAAGGTGCGCGCCCGGCGAGGGGCGGGGCCTGCCGTTCCCGCCTCTGGCGTGGCCACGCCCCTCGCCCCTCCCACGCGGCCTCTGATGCTCCTTTGCCCCTTCCTCTCCCAGGCGGTCCTCCTGGCCTTGCTTCCCCCAGCCCCTGCGCCCGGCCCGACTGAGAGGTTCCGGGGCCCGGGCCGGGCGGAGTTCCGGGCGTCGAGGCTCCGCACTGCCTCGGGAGCTTCCGCTGCCCTCGGGTGTGCAGGTTTGCTTCAGAGGGTCGGCGGGCGGCGCTGCGGGGAGGAGGAGCGGTGGGAGCGTCAATCCGGCCAGCCCCGGTCTCCGGCCGCCCAGGCCGCCCTCGCCCTTGGGGATCCTTGGCTGCCCAGACGGAAGGAAAGTAGGCGCCGGAGAGCCCGCTCCGCATTTTGATTCATCTCGGGCCCTGTAAGGGTCACATCTTGTGAAAATACCTGTAAAATCAATTTAACGTTCAGTGCAGCGTGTAAAGACAGCTCTAAGAATTTAAAAGACGCCTGAGTCAGAACATTTAAATGCTTGGGTCCCTGTAGCAGCGTTTTAACACGTCTGAGTGCAGAGGGTGGAGAATCGAGCCTGATTGCCGCCACCTTCCACGCCCTGTAACATTTTAAAAGGGTAAAGAAAAGCGCCCTAAAAAACCCCAAGTGGGCGGTTCCCTTAGGCAGGGAAGAACAGCTGACTTTTTAAAAATTTGGGTTGGTCCTCATTTCTGTGTGCAAAATTTGCCTGCAGAACTTTCTTTTGCGGGCTTAGATCTATGATAAACAGAATTGCTGAAACACAGAGCTTAACTAAGTAGTGGCTTTTGTTGACAAGTCGATTGTGTTATTAATTCTTAATGTCTCATCCAAGGCCGGAATCGTTATCTCAGTTTTGCAGGTGGAAAAAAGTTTGGCACAAAAAAGCATTTCCCTTCAATTCACACAGAAGCAGCGGCTGAGCTGCAAATTAAGTCCTAGCATTCTGACTCCTCAGCTGCGTCCCCCTCTAGACCAGGTTACAAAACAAATGAGTAGTTACTTTGATGTTACTCATAAAACGAGGGAGTAAACCAAATGTTCTGTGAACATGAAGTGTTAAATCATAACCCTCTATGTCTCTTCTGCTTTGGGAGGCTCAGCTGACCTTTGGAGTTGATACAGAGAGGAGGAGGTGGGGCAAAAAAGGGGAAAATAATGTCAGGGGAAAAATTTTGTCTCCGGAGTCCAAACTGTTCCCATCTTTACTGTCGCCTTTGTGTTGACGTCATTCTTTTCAGTGTACTCCGTGTTCTGGCACAACACGGAGAGCTCACGTCCCGGCCTCAGCCGCATTAACTACCCCTTTGCGTTCCTCCTTTGGCACTGACCTCCCTGTCAGTCTTCTTGTCGTGCTCCTTCCTCCAGGTGCTCTTTACTAAAGCTGTTATGTGAAAACCAGTTGTTGTTGTTCAAGTGTGGAATGATTTGTCACTCCTGAAGGATGTTTCTAGAGTTAATGATCAAAAACTACCAACAGATCTTAGATGAAAGGACAAGTTAAAGAAGCGCAGAAACTATTGTGGAATTTGATAGCTGACTTATTTGACTGGGGAAAAAACCAGACTTTGATTTTTTTTTTCCCTTTCCCCAGTTCACTCCTAACTGGAAAGCAGCAGCTCAGTTCTAACTTAGATGAAATGGTGGGGGGAGGGGGACATCCTTCTGTTTAGTGAATTGGAAAGTTTTCTTTCCTAAGGAAGCTCCTTTTTAGACAGCTTGGAACAAGTGGAAACATTTATTTGCTTAGAATGCAAAATGTTTTGCCACTTGTAAGTCTGTTTGTCCCTAAAACTTGTGTAAGAGCTTGGGACTCAGGATGTGTGATATAGTCCTTCTCTGTAAGAGGCGTCCATGATTCCTCAGCATGTAGACAACAGAAATTCCAACCCAAGGTAGTTTTCTCTGGAACAGCCAGCCAGTTTATTCATCGTTTTGTTTTCTTTCACTCTGTTCCGCAGAGAAGGAATCCCAAGAAACTCAGATGGCGTCCGGGGATTTCTGCTCACCTGGAGAAGGAGTGGAAATACTCCAGCAAGGTAAGAGTAGCCGTTTGCAAGAGGGTTGATGACTTATCCAGAAAGGTCTTATCCAGGTTCTTGCCTTCTATAATAAAAAGGATTTATAATGTTCACCAGTATGATTTCTCTCACTGAAGCCTAAGTTTCGGGGGAAACTAGAATACATGAAGATTCTTAAACACTCTTATTAGAAAACAGATTACATTGACTCCTGTTCAGTACCTACTTGTGCAGTAGACTAAAAACTCAAGATGCGGGGCCAGCCCCATGGCCGAGTGGTTGGGTTTGTGCACTCTGCTTCGGCGGCCCAGGGTTTCGCTAGTTCAGATCCTGGGCCCGGACATGGCACTGCTCGTCAGGCCATGCTGAGGCGGCATCTCACATGCTACAACTAGAAGGACCCACAACTAAAAATACACAACTGTGTACTGGAGTGCTTTGGGAGAAAAAAGAAAAGTAAAATCTTTGGGGGAAAAAAAGAGAAAAACTCAAGATGCTCCCATGCTGTGTCAGCAAGCATATCATGAAGATAAGGGTGACCAGCAAACTCCTTGAAGGCTTCCTTCCTTCTTGTGTCTTTAATTTTCTCATTTCTTGTTCTCTAAAATCTCAGATCCTCCATATCTTGAATTCTTTCCATATCTCAAATCCTTTCTGTATCTTGAATCCTTCAAGAACTTGAATCTTCTACATTTTGATCATTTCCATATTGATCCTTCAGTGCCTCAGGGGAAAAAAGAGATTTCTTATTCTCTAAAAGGACTTTGGGTATGGTGGTCCAAAGAATGAAAATTCGAGTGTTTTGCAAGTAGGAGTAAAACAGAATACTCCAGCAGAAAGCATGTGGGAAAAGAGGTAGAAAGAAAGACCCTTGAGTATATGGAATAACCAGAGAATCCCAGTTTCTTGCACTTTTTCTCAAGCATGTGCTGTTATGCATCCACATGGGTTACTCAACTCTGCTGACAATAAGGAGAACTTGGTTAGTTAAATTTTTTGCTTACTTTTGAGAGTATACCTTCTCTCAGTCTTGCTTATGCAACTAGAGATCATATCCAAAGTTGGAACTTTACAAGTGTTTTTTCCCCTTCCTTAAGAACTCTAGTCATTCTGTGTGAATGAGGCATTCTGGGTACTGTGGTGACCCCTACTAACAGGTCCCTAATTGATTCTATTTGTCTACTACTTCCCAACTGTATTTCCATTTTCTAAAATCTTAGTTTTATTAGAGGCTCATTCCCTAATTCTTGATTAATATCCTTGGATATAATATAAATGCTTGTTACTTTGAGTATTACCTCTAGTTTATTTGTATATTTTTTAAAAAAATTTCATTAGATTTAGAAAACTTCTCTACCAAAAACCTAGGGGTTTTTTGGAAGTGAATGTTAAGCTAAGAGTTACACTCGATTATATAAAGTAAGAGTCCATACCTTCTTTGCTTTTTTGTCCCTTTGGGGGACATCCTATTAAGTGTGCAGCAAACAGCTTCCTCCTTGCAACCTGAGTGAAGAGGACCTGTTACAGAACCCGCACTTCAGCAAACTTCTGCTGAGTCTCTCACAGCATGTGGACGAGAGTGGCTTAAGCCTCACCCTGGCAAAGGAGCAGGCTCAGGTAAGAACCCTGGGAGGAGGGAGGAAGGAAAAGTCTTCCAAGAGAGCGAGGCTCCTATCTGGCATTTTTTGGGTTTTCTAGGCATGGAAGGAAGTTCGGCTACATAAGACAACATGGTTGAGGTCTGAGATTTTACAGAGAGTCATTCAAGAGCTGCTTGTGGACTACTATGTGAAGACACAAGACACAAATTTAACTTCTGAGGACAAAAAGGTGAGGCAGGAGAGATGAAGTAGGGGTTGGGTACCAGCTATAGGAATGACCAGGCCAATTGCACCTTCGTCTGATTATATGATTTGGGGGAAAGAAGAGCTTTGAATATGGTTATCAAAAAAGAAATGGACTGTAGTTATGGGGAAAGAGGTAGGTGTGATGTCAGAGTGTTGAAAAGAAAGATTGACAGGGGAAGGCCCTGGCAGCTAAGTTATCTGAAGGTATGACATGTTTGAGGACTTTGAAAATGTGTGGAGAACTGGTCTGAGAAGATGGAGGAGGTGGAGTGGGAGAGGTTTCACAGTAACCTCTTTTTGTTTTTTATTCTCTTTCTCAGTTTCATGAGACCCTTGAACAGCGGCTACTCGTGACTGAACTGACACAGCTCTTAGGTCCTAGCCAGGAGAGGGAGATGCCTCCGGTGCTCGGGCTGGAGAAGGCAGACCTTCTGGAGCTCATGCCACCTTCAGAGGTTGGGAGTGGGCAGATATTGGGACCAAAGAAGCAAAATGGGTTAATTTCTCCAATATACTTAAATATTTTTTTGTTACGCTTTATTATCTTTGTAAAAATGATACACGTTCATGGTGACCAAACTCAAATAAATAAGGAAAATGTTACACAGAAGACAGTAAAAGCTGAAATACAACTACATCTAGAAATAAATACAGTATTATTATATACAGCTTGACATAAATGGTATTCTCCCCTCCATGATTATAGAGAGAGTATAATCTGTTTTCACTGCATATATTTTGGACTTTTTTTCAAGTCAATAAAAAAAGTAAATAAAATGATACCTCCTAAAGCACTCTTAGCACAGTGTCCAGACACATAGTGCTCACTGTTCTTATTATATCAGCAGTTTCGATCCCTGATAGGATTCCACTGTGTGGATGTAGCATAATTTGCTTAACCTTATTGATGGATATCAATTCAAGGTTCTTTCCACATTTTTGCTCTTAGAAACCACACTGATATGAACATGCTAGTTCATACGTTTTTTAATATGATTATTTCCTGGGTGTTAGTACTCAAAGTGGGATTACCGGGTCAGGGAATACACATGTAGAACACACTAGTAGATACTGTAAAACTGCTCTCCAGAAAGGCGTTCCCAGTGCCCCGGTTCTCCACATTTTCATCAACGTGTGATCTTGACAGTCATTTTATTCTTTGCTGATTTAATAGGGTAAAAGTGAAACTCCCTGATGTGTCTTGAGGCATTTTCTTTGGTTAGCATTGAGATTGTTATCATGTATTCATTGGCTGGATCTTCCTAGTTCCAACAGTCTGTTTGCATCTCTTTTTTTGTTTCTGTGGCTGTAGGATTTTGTGCGGATGAGAGCTCAGCTCCCGCTAGAAGTGGAGGAACAGCTCAAGAAGAAATGTTTTGCCCTTCTCTGCTACCATGATCCCAGTTCAGGTGAGTGCTGGCTCTCCCTGCCCTGTTCACAGCTGGCCTTCAGGGCTCCTGGTCTGCTCTTTTGAGAATAGTGTATTTGGATTTTCAATTTGGGACAGAAGCTGGGAGGCATTGGAGATGCTTATTTGTTTGTTTTCTTGTTGATAGAATAAAAGCAAGAGATTTTGTAAGGACTTCTTTTGTTGAGCAAGGTAGTAAGTGGGAGTGTCCTCTGGCTGCAGAGAAGGATGAGTTCTTCTCGGGAGAATCAGAATGGAATGGGGAGGAAAGTTCAGGCTATACGTGTTCCCCTTGTTTTTGTTTCTGTGATTTAGGAATTAAGCACCAAATCTGGAATTAAAGGTAAGAGTGAAGAGAACTCAATTACGAGAACCGGACTGTTTTTAACAAGACATCCAAAGAAAACCTGGATGAAGACAGAATTTGTAGGGCTAGGTGTAGAATAGGGGCACTGAAAAACAGCCTTAGATGGGAGTAGCAGTTAGGGTTTTCCTGTCCAGTCGTCTGTCTCTTTGCTCAGATTCAGACAGTGAAACCCTGAAGGCAGCAAAGGTGTGGAAACTGGCAGAGGTCCTGCTGGGTGAGAAGCAGCAGTGCCAGGATGCCAAGAGCCAGCAGAAGGAGCAGATGGTGCTGCTGGAGAAGAAGAGTGCCACCTACTCCCAGGTTTGTCAGGGCAGTGGGGTAGCCTGCTGTATCTTTTACCCTGACCCCAGGGGCACCTTTGGAGAAGCCCAGGTTTCTGATCTGCCTTCTTTTCTACCATCTTTTGTTTATGTCCTCTTCCTCCTGCCTCCTGGGGACTCAGGTGCTTCTCCGCTGCCTGGCCTTGCTGCAGAGGCTTCTTCAGGAGCACCGGCTGAAGACTCAGTCTGAGCTAGACCGCATCAATGCCCAGTACCTGGAGATCAAGTGCAGTGCCATGATCCTTAAGCTGAGGTGAGCTATGACCCCTGTGGATCTAAGGGACTCTGTCTCACACACCACCCCCTCCAACCCTCGCCCTCGTCTCTCTTTCCTCTCCTCCATGTCTAGCACCTTGTGGGTATTTAGTAAATGTCACTCAACAGTACTCGCCTTTGGAATACCCCAAAACTTTCAACATTCTGGAGACTTACATTTTAAAGCCTTCTGAAATAGGTGCTTTACTGTGAGATAAATTGCTCAGGAATTCAGTATGACCTTGTTTATCCTGTCACTCCTTAGCCCACACCTTGACCATGGGCAGGTACTGTGTCTCATTCCTAACTCTGCTGCTGTCAGGGCTCCTCAGCTTGACATTTCTTTCTTCCCTCTGTCAGGATGGAGGAGCTGAAGATTCTGTCTGACACTTACACTGCCGAGAAAGTGGAAGTTCATCGTCTCATTAGGTGAGAACTCCCAAGAGCCTGGCAGAGCTCGTTCTGACAGTCTCCAGACTCATTCATTTTGACCTGTTCCCATTCTTGTCTGCTTTCTGAGGAGCCAGATCCTTATATTGTATCTTCTGTGCCTGGGCTCTTAGGGACCGTTTGGAGGGGGCCATTCGCCTCCAAGAGCAGGACATGGAGAAGTCCCGACAGGTCCTGAACACCTATGAGGTCCTCGGGGAGGAGTTCGACAGGCTGGTAAAAGAGTATACCCAACTCAAGCAGGCAACTGAGAACAAGCGCTGGGCCCTCCAGGAGTTCAGCAAGGCCTACCGCTGAGCGCTGGCAGGGCCAGGAGGCACAGCTGCTGCATGGGTGCTGCCTCCTTCTCTTCCTGCTAATGGGACCACCTCCACCTGAGGCCACCGTCACTCTCAGGGGAGTGTGGGAACACTTGCTTGAAACACGGCAGTCCTTTAGGCAATATCCTGGTTTCTCTTCCTTGTTTACAATGACGGAGTCTCTTCTGGAAAATGTAGCTAGTTTATATAATTTTGTGTACAGCTATTTGTCAGTGTCAGCCCTGTATTGTAGTTGATTATCTCTTGAATAAAGTGATGATATTGTGGCTTAGGATTTTAGTCATTTTCCTTTGGGCAAAGATGGACAAAGAATTTCGAAGGCTATGTGGAAAAGGAGGGGAAACTGAGTGGATCCAAATAGAGACAGATCTATAATGCTTATGCAAAGGGTGCGAGGTAGGATTGTCACCTGGCCACTTGGAGTCTTAGAGGCTTCCTTCTTAGGGAGCAGAAATGGATTAAAACTGGGCTTGCTCTTGAACTATAATCTCCGGAGGGGTGCTAGATGCTTAGGTGAGTAGGAAACTATTTTGCCACTCTCATTCTGTGACTCTCAGTGAGGTGGTTATGATAAAGCAGCTGGGCATCCAGCTCTGCTACAGGAAAGGACATAAGCCACTTGTGCTCCTGGTTCCCTCTGGTGGGGTTTGAGGGTTACTTCTTTCTCCAAAAGCAAAGGGTGGGAGGAGATCACCCTGAGGAAGCAAGTTCTGCAGTGTCCTTAGCTTAGAACAAGGCAGGGCCATGGCTGGTGTCAAAGTCAGGGACTGAAAAGAGAAGCAGAAGACCCTCTACTCTTATTTAGGATAGCCTACTCAGCTTCTCAGACCACTTTCCAGGGAGACTGTCTTGAGGCATTCTTTTGCTAAGATCAAATAATGATGGTCTTGGATTGATCTATAGGAAAATTAAGGCCTTTGACTCAACTTTAAATTTTTCTGCACATTTTGGCCCACACAAAATGAATAAATAGCTTTAATAGAAAATCTCAGAAATAGTTGATATTGCTTAGTTCTGTAGTTTTTTTTACCCAACTTTTTTTGGGGAAAGTTTTCAAACCTACAGAAAAGTTGAAAGAATAGTATGATAAGCACCAATATACTCAACCTAGATTCAACAATTACTGACATTTTGCTTTTTTCTTTCTTCTCTTTCCTGTTGCTCTCTTTTTATACATAGTAGATATAGTTATACAGACTTTTTTTTCTGAACCATTTTATAGTAAGTTGCAGATATTCCATTTCCTCAATACTTAAGCAGGCAACTCTTAAAATAAGGGCACTCTCCTGTATAACTAATAAATTACACCTAAAAAATTAATAATTTTATAATATCTATTACTCAGGTCATATTCAAATTTCTCCAATTTTTTTTCATGGTCTGGGGTCCAATAAAGGTTCACGTATTACATTTGGATGTTAGGTTTCTTTAATTTCTTTTAAAATAGGACATTCCTTGGGGCCGGCCCTGTGGCCGAGTGGTTAAGTTTGCACGCTTCGCTTTGGCGGCCCAGGGTTTCGCCAGTTTGGACCCTGGGCACGGACATGGCACCATTCATCAGGCTATGCTCAGGCGGCGTCCCACATCCTACAACTAGAAGGACCCACAACTAAAAAAATATACAACTATGTACTGGGGGGCTTTGGGGAGAAAAAGGAAAAATAAAAATCTTTAAAATAGCACATTCCTAATGCTTTTTTTTTTTTTAATGAAATTGACTCTGGAAAATCCAGGCCAGTTACCTTGTGGAATGTCCCATTGTCTAATTGTTTCCTGTGTTGGTTAACTTGTTCCTCTCCTGTTCTGTCCAGTATAGTAGCCAGTAGCCACATGTAGCTATTTAAATTCAAGTTAATTAAAATGAAACAAAATTAAACTTTCAGTAGGTTGGTGGTTACTGTATTAGTGCAGATATACAACATTTACATCATTGCAGAAAGTTCTCTTGGACAGTGCTATAAGCCTACATTTCCTGTAAACTGGAAGTAGGTCTACAGGCTTTATTAGATTCAGGTTAAACATTTTTGCAAAGAATACTTAATAGATGACATTACGTACTTCACATTACATCACCCTGGAGCCACATCAGGTCAGAATGTCTCACTATTAATTATGATGAGTTTGATTGCTTGGTTAAGGTGGCGACTGCCAGATCTCTCTAATCTATGAAAGTACATTTTCCCTTTATAGTTAGTAGCATCTGGAAATGAACATCAAAAACCTCAAAATAGTTCTTCCTGATATTTATTGTGCATTCAGCATTTCCTCATTTAATCAGGTGCTCATCTTGAACCATACTAGGTTTTGGTATTTGAAATAATAAGGATAATAATTTTAAAAATGGACCCTGTCCTCAATGTTTATAACCTATAGACAATAGTAAACCCACAAAAACCATCTAAGAATATAGAGTAACAGGAAGTACAAATAAATATAGTTGAAGGGGCCAGCCCCGTGGCCGAGTGGTTAAGTTTGCGCGCTCTGCTTTCACGGCCCAGGGTTTCATCAGTTCGGATCCTGGACGTGGACATGGCAGTGCTCATCAGGCCACGACGAAGCGGCATCCCACATGCTACAACTAGAAGGACCCACAACTAAAATATACAACTATGTACTGGGGGGATTTGGGGAGAAAAAGAAAAAAAAAAAGATTGGCAACAGTTGTTAGCTCAGGTGCCAATCTTTATTAAAAAAAAAAATGTGGTTGAAAACCAAGAGAAGTGAGTCAGGAATTATAAGGCAGAGGCTTCGTAGAGAAGGCAGATTTGATTCAGGCTTTGTAGAGGTGAGTTTGGGATAGAATTTTGGAAAAAGCGACAAAGATAGAGAAAGGAGAAGAAGCAGTGTGTGAAGGCACAGAGTTAGGAATGAGCAAATCATGCGCCAAGGAAAGCCTTCATCTTAAATGGCCAAAACTTGAGAAAACTATCCCACGGCTTCAATCAAGACTCTGGAGAGCTGTGGTTCGAGAAATGTTTAGATTTCCAGCTGCCTGAGAAAGCAAAATGGCTTCCCAGGCAGTTCCCAGCCTGGCTCTCTAAACGGCATGGGGATGGACAGCTAGCTGTTTCTGGTGTTTCCAAAAGCCTGAAGAAGATTGAACATTTGCCTGCAGCAGTGCTGCACAACTATTTAAAAAATATATTGGCTTAAAAACACAAAAATTGTGCTTTGTAAAAAAATTCAAACAAAACAAGTATATAATAATAAGTAAAAGATTGAACCACCCCGCCCCCCCACACACATATATCATTACCCCAATCCACCTCCCTAGAGTAAAGTGATTTAGAGTGGTACATATAAAGCCAGACCACTTTCTAAAAATAGGCAAACATACATACAAAAATATTAGCTCATGTTATTGTTAGAGGATGGCTTTATCATAATTTAACTATTCCCTTCATGAAAAATGTTTTAGATTGTTTCCACTTTACCCTATTACAAAAATGCTTCATTGAATATCATTGCATATGTATCTTGCTAAGTGCCTTTGCTTTTTTGGTATTATAGTAAATCAGGATATTAATTCTAGTTAGTTCATGAAAAAATGAATTAATTGCTGAATTTATGAATGTAGTTTAGTAGGAAAAGTCTTTCAAAACAGTTCCATGGTGGGGGGAAAGGGACACGAGGGGTGCTGAGTGCACGTGAAGAGGGCGCTACAGCAGTTGGTCTTGGTCCTGTCCTTCACACAGTCAGTGTGAAGAGGGAAGATGTGGAGATGGAAGGTTCGCAGGAAGTGCCTTTCACATGTGCTGTGGTCCATTGTGGAACAGATGGGAAGCGGACTTGGAGGGCCAGCAGAGGGGTGTATGGCAGCGAGAGCTGAGGGTTAGCATCTGAGACTTCAGCTGCCCTGTCTCTCCTCCTCACACTTTTCAGAAAAGATTACATTTACTGCCTTTCTTTCATCCTGTCACAAGCTTCTCTCTCTCCACTTGTCTTTCACCACATCTTATGAAGAATCAGTCTTGTTGATTCTTCCTCCATAATGAGAGGCAAAGTAAATAACCTCCAGAACTTGGAATAGGATTGCTCTCTGTAAGGAAACTGAGGCTCGGGGTGGCCTGATGGCACAACGGTTAAGTGTGCACGTTCTGCTTCGGTGGCCTGGGGTTCGCCAGTTCGGATCCCGGGTGCGGACATGGTACCGCTTGGCAAGCCATGCTGTGGGAGGCGTCCCACATATAAAGTAAAGGAAGATGGGCACGGATGTTAGCTCAGGGCCAGGCTTCCTCAGCAAAAAAAATAGGAGGATTGGCAGCAGATGTTATCTCAGGGCTAATCTTCCTCAAAAAAAAAAAGGAAACTGAGGCTCTTGGACAAACAAACTCTGTCCCCTCAAGGTTCCCAATGAAGGGTGAAGGGTGAATATCAGGTCTCCGGGGAGTGACCCTGTTTTCTTCCTTAGCCACCACAAACAGGACACCCAGTGCCTCCTGGAGTCTAGCCCAATGCTCCCCAAAGGAGAGGGGAATCCCTGAGGTCCAGCCTCCCTGTGGGGCCCAGCACCCCATGAAGAGTCTCTCCACGTTGTCCATCTTGAAGGACCTGTGCTCGGTTTTATTAAAGGAAATGGCAGGTCTCCTTATACCTGGAGACAATGAAAATACAGGAGTCAATTCCTCATGAAGGAGATTAGCAATCTGTAGAAATAATTCACCCTAAGAGATGGTTCATATTTGAGTGGCTGAGATCTAGGCTAAGTGGCTAAGTCAGGGCTGGTGTCAGAAAAATACAACGGAAATGTAGAGAGACTTAAACGTATTAAGCCCGACTGAAGAAAGAACGTAAAGAATGTCTAACCAAAAGTAAAACATGAGCCCAGAGTTTAGAAAAGTGTTCTCCACAGAGCAAGTCAGAGTTCCCCAGAGAAACAGAACCTATTATATATATATATATATATATATATATATATATATATAGTGAGATTTATTTTAAGGAATTCGCTCACTTTATTGTGGCTCTGGAAAGTCTGAAATTTGTGGGGCAGGCCACAGGCTGGAAACCTGGCTGGAAGTGATGCCGCAGTCTTGAGGCAGAATTTCTTCTTCTCTGGGAAACCTCAGTTTTTGCTCTTAAGGCCTTCAAGAGACCCACCCATCTTATCAAGGGTACTCTACTTAAAGTCAGCTGATTGTAGGTATTAACTACTTCTACAGAACATCTTCACTGCAATACTTAGATTAGTGTTTGATTAAATAACTGGGTACTATAGGCTGGCTAGCCAAGTTGATACATAAAACTAACCATCTCGGGGAGGGCTGGTGG